GGAAATACTTTCTTAACTCTGTGTGCAGATATTGTGTTATGCATTGAAAATTTCTGCTGTTTCCTGTGTGCATTTCTCTTGCTGTGGAATAATTTTCATATGACTGGAAGGATTTTTTCTCACAAACAAGAAAAACACCTCCCAGAGGCAACGGCTGATGGAAATTGCTGAGGTTTTGGAGTGTTTCTGTGGTGGTGCCTCCCAAATATTCCCTTATCTCACAGGAAATGATGGGAGATTTTGCACCTCTCTGAGCTGATGGGTTTCTTTTCATTCCTAAACATCTCTAGGAAGCTCAGGCATGTTTGTCACCCATGAGATTGAAGAATTATCGTGGAATTCTGGAATGGGTTGGGTTGGGAAGGACCTCAAAGCCCATCCAGTGTCACCCCTGCCATGGCAGGGACAATTTCCACTCTCCCAAGCTGCTCCAGCCTGGCCTTGGGCACTGCCAGGGATCCATGGGCAGCCCCATCTTCTCTGGGAAATCCATTCCAGGGCCTCACCTCCCTCCCAACCAGGAATTTCTAAATTAATTTTGATTTAGTCATGAATTTTTGAACATTTAAATAATTCCTGTCATGTATTCAGAAAGTTCAACTCCTTCAAAGTTGTTGCATGGGAATAAATGAACAAAAAATTGATAGGAAATTCCGTATCTCAGAAGATACTAAATGTTGAGTTGTATCTAAAGAAATGTTTTGTCCCCAGTCCAGGAAGGAATTAAAAAAAATAAAAAAAGAGAAATCAAAACAGATTCTTCCATTTGAGCAGAGACATATGTTTGGTGGGTTGGCACCAGACTAGGATGCAGAATCCTGTAGAACCAACTCTTCATACTCTGGGATATTTAGAGGAACAACATTCAAAATAAAGTGCTGGAGAACAGAAGAAAAATAGAAAAATGTAAAAAAGAAGAACAGGGAGCACCTGAAGAGCAGCACAAAGGAATTCCAGGCACTGCTGGGCTGTGGTGACCAGGAAAGGGTGTTCAGGATCCACAGGGATCTGTTGGATGGGCTTGGAGCAACCTGGGATAATGGAAGGTGTCCCTGCCATGGCAGGGATGGGTTTTAAGGTCCCTTCCAACCCAACCCATCCTGAGATTCTCTGTCTCATTTGTGTATCAAATGTCTTAGAGAAATCTGCACCATAAATCCCAGAAAACATTTAATTTCATCCAAAAATTCCCGTTAATTGGAGGTGAGGTCATAGAGACTCCTTCTGGTCTTTGGGTGATGATCATAAAATCATATTTAGAAAAAAAATGAAGCTCTCGGGTGTCGTTCAGCAAAATTAAAAGGTCCCAACTAATTCAGCAGATTCCCTTGAAAAATGTGGTTAAACACAGAAGAAATTTCTTCCCAGTGCTGTGGTGCTCCAAGCCCTTGGAGAAGGCTTAGAGGTTTTGAGAACAAAATTAATGATAGCCTTACAATTATTGCAGTTGTTCTGTTTGAGAGTGATGATTAAATCTGATCAGAAATAACATCTGCAGTGGGAGCAGAGTTTAAATATCTGGATTGTGGCTGTGCAGTTCACAAAGAAAACAGAAAATATCATCTATTAACACAAAAGGCAACGTGAGAATGATTTACTTGTCAGGCAAAAAAGAAATAAAATACAGATCTCTTCATGGCACTGAAAAAAATCTGGGGAGATTAAGAACTGAATGGGAAGTTTGAAGTATGGTTGATAGAAAACCTCAGCACCAAATTATGTGAACAAAGTCACTTTAAGGGGAGACTCAGAACCACTTTGGAGACTCCAAACAAAATCTGTTTCAAGTGGCACAATGAAATATTTCATCATTATCCCAGAGCTGCTCCATATTAGGTGTTCTCCCTTTAAAATGCCATTTTTCACTCCAATTCTCAATCCATTTCCCAGCATTTTGCAGGTGGGATTTCCTCTTTGGAGCCAAACTTGTGTGCTGAACTCATTAAAGAAATCAGTTGTTGGATCCTGCCAGGGCTTCTGCACCAGTTTATTCCTTGGACTTTGTTGGGTTGGGTTTAGGGTTTGGATTAGGGTGGGTTAGAGACCAAAGAAAGGAAACAGAGCTGCCAAAAAGTGCTGCTTGAACCTGGTGAGCTCAGAGGCTTTGCCCAAATTTACTCCTGATTCCGAGGGGTCGCAGGTTTTGGCTGCACAAGGTGTGGCTTTAAAGTTGATTTTTTAAAGGGTTTACTGTTTTTGGGGTTGGAAAAGCCCAACAAGGACATGGAGTCCAAGCTGTGGCCATCCCCACCTTGTCACCAGAGCCCTGAGTGCCACCTCCAGGCGTTCTTGGACCTCAGTGCACCAACCTTTGGTGGCCTGGATTGGGTTGTTCAGTGATGCTGAGCTCACCACCAGATCTTCACCTCCTGTTTCACAGAAACTTCTGTGACTTCCAGGCCTTCCTTGAGCCTTCAAGTATGAAAAAAAAACATTTTTCCATTCCTCTCCTGCCCCTCAACCCCACCTTGAACCATATCTGGACGTTCCTCACCAATTTGTGAGTTGCTTCCAGGACCTGCCCAGAAGCTTTTTGGGAATTCCCTGGCTCATGTGGTGTCTGGAATGTTTTCCCAGGCTGGCCCATAAGTTCTGACCCATAAACCCATAAATGGATGGGTCAGAAATTTATGGGGAGCTGAAGTTCTGAAGGTGCAGGAACAGCCAATTCCCTTTTCTCACATGGGAAATAGAGGGATCAGCATCGTGGGCAGTTTTGTTCCCGACACTGCTGGGAGTTATTTCCTCCACGAGGATTTGACATTTTTGGAAGCTCTAGAAAGAGCAGAGTGCCCATGGAGGGATTCCATAACTTGCTGGTTTGTGGCAAAAGTTGGTTTGAAAGGTGATTTTTCTCAGGAGGGTTTTCCTTTGCTTAGACTTGGGTTCCTCCATACTCTTAGAAAGTCTAAACCAAGTGGAACTGACTGAGTTAAAAACAAATTGTTTATGAGACAAAAACTTTTAGGCCTGATGTGTTTTGTAGTGATTGATTTTTTTATATTTATCTTTCCATAGCTACAGTGCTGAGATATGGAAGCAGCACTAACCAATTATGCTCTGGGGTTATATTGTTGAATAATTTTATTTTTTAAACTCATAACTGGCATTTATAGTGACCTTGTCTTAAAGTTACCTTTAATTTCAGCCTAGGGAGGTGGTTTAACTTTTCATAATCTATTAGTACTTACAATATGTCACATTTCAATACTAATTTGTAATTTTATTTAATTGAAATTTTAACTCATGGAACCCTTGCTGTTGTTATTTTGGTATAACAGTGAATCCCCCAAGTTAGATATATTTTTAAATATACTAATGCAGAGTAATCATCATATTCCTCAAGCAGATCAATCCCTTCCCATGTAGTGACTGTTTATTTTTAACAGCAACTCCTAAATTCACATGTTGCATGAAATTGTGCCTTTTTAATAAATAAATGAAGCAGAGTTTAGCTCTCCTGGCTGATGTCCTGCTCTGGTTCTGTTCTGCAGATCCTTGCTGACGATGGTGGTCGCTGGAGGCAGCACTGTTGAAGATTATATCATTTACAGACAAGATCTCTGAAATCTGTTTCCTTCAGACAGCAAAGGTAACTCAAATAATCCACATTATGCATTTGTCTCGAAGTAATAAATTCGTTGTTGACCTCCAAAATTGAACAGCAGCTGAAATTTTGGAGTCTGACCACATTTTAAACCCTTTTTTGCTAATAATTTTTGTTTATTCTGAAGTGAAAAATTATAAATATCATGGAAAGAGCTCGATTTCTTCTGCTTTTTGTTACAGGAATATCTGTCCTTCCTTAGCTTCTCTTTTTTTTTTTTTTTTCCTGCACTTAATGTTTTTCTTTATTCTTCTTTTCTCACAAATGTTTTGACCTGCAGATCAGTTTTTTTTTTTTTTTCCTGCACTTAATGTTTTTCTTTATTCTTCTTTTCTCACAAATGTTTTGACCTGCAGATCAGTTACAATATTTTTGTGGTACTGATGAGAAGAAGCACTGCCTCAAAATCTAAAGAGTAATTGAGGATGGGGCTTATGCTCAAAAAGACAAAATTTAGATGAAAAAAGAGTAAAACAGTGGTATACCTCTTGAAAATTTCTATAGAATTTTAGAAGTATGACTTCTTTAAATTAAATATTGAAAGCACAAATCTGATGTGTCTTGTGCCATTTATTTTCTCTGCTTGTATTATTTATTATCAATAAATGATCCAAATAAATGTGAGGATATTCAGGAGAGTTTTGTTTATGGATCATTTTTTCCTATTTTGAAACTAACTCCCTATAAACACCATAGGTAATATGGGACTTTTTTTTTTTTATTATGGAAATAGAGCTAATTTTCCCACTCATTATCTGCTGTTAATTTAATGTGTGGCAATATCTGAAATTTAGTGCTGATTATGGCAGTAGATTTTTGGTTAGCAGTACAGCTCATCTATGAGCAAACCAATTAAGACATCATTTCAGAATATAATTGAGCTCCTAATGGGGCACTTGAATTCACTGGGAATTTACATATTTGCTTTTCTTTGCTTTAGCAGAGAGGTCCAAAATGAGGCTACAGCTTCAGTTTTGAACTTCTGGAGGCACCAACTCGAGCTGGGGCTTTTCAAAGTGATGCTCTGGAGTAAGGGCAGGGATAAATTCATGGAGAAGCTCCTTAATTCTGAAATCTGAACTTTGGAGGTGGGAATTTGAGGAGCACAACCTCCACTGTTCTTAGGATGCTGAGGCCCAGGTGATGCTCTGGTGCAGCACAGTTAAAACTCATTTAAATACAAAGTTTGCTCAGTGTTTGTAATTCATCTTCTTCTTTTAGTCAAATCAGGATCTGCTGGGAAAGGGCTCATTCTGCAAAGCTTTGTCTCTCTATACATACATAATATATACTCATATATAATCTCTGTTTTCAAGCCAGTATCAATAGAGAATTCTTGGAAGTGCTTTGTTAGCCCACACAAATTAAGTGTCTCATTTATGGAGTTTTTGAAAATGAAGGAAAGAAATGAAGGCAGTTCTCTTCCATTTTCATTTTCCCTTCCAAAATCTGGGGAGTTTTTTGACCCTCAGAAGGAAGATTTTTCCATTTAAAAGACAATCAGAGCTGAGAGAGGTTGTTTATTCCTTATTGAGGGATTGCTTTGTGTTGTTGTCACTCTTCCCTTCCAGGGTAGACCTTTGCATGTTTTTATTTGTTCTAAAATGGGAGTCTACACCATTTGGAAAACCAAATGTTTTGGGGGGATAATTATCAAAATCTGTGTGTGAATTCTGAAAAACCTATGTGAAAAACTAGGGCAGGGAAAGTTGTTTTCTCTGTAAGGTTCATGTTGTACTGGTTATTTCCTGAAAGTTTTAATATGTACATGTGGATAAACCTCAGGATGCTCCAGTGAACTCCAAGAAAACATTTAGTTCTCATTCGCAGCATCTTAACTTGTATTTTGTACTTTTTTTTTCCCCCACTAAAGTGCTCACAGCTGTGCAGGTATTGCAGCCACTGCTGCTGTTCCAATTGATCTATTTTTAAAAGCAGGGGCTCTATGGATGGAATCCACATTCCTGTGTAGTCCAATACTCCCAAACCTTCCTGACCCTGCCTCACCCACTCAGACCTCGTGCATTATCTTTAATTATATGATAACACTGCAATTTTCCTCCATAGAAACCCTTCCATTAAATAAATGGAATTTAACCAGCAATCCACTGCCTTTAATTGTTCGATCCTTCCTTCCTCAGAAATGTTCAGGCTTTTCCATATGGATGGAATTCACAATTTGTGCTTTCTTTTTAACGACAGATTTTGGAGAATCCCACACTGGTTTGGGTTGGAAGGGACATTAAAATTCATCCAGTATGGCAGGGACACCTCCCACTGTCCCAGGTTATTCCAGCCTGGCCCTGGGCACTGCCAGGGATCCAGGGGCAGCCCCAGCTGCTCTGGGAATTGCAGCCCAGCCAGGAATTCCCAGTTCCCAATCTCCCAGCCATCCCTGCCCTCTGGCAGTGGGAGCCATTCCCTGGCTCCTGTCCCTCCATCCCTTGTCCCCAGTCCCTCTCCAGCTCTCCTGGAGCCCTCCAGGCCCTGCCAGGGGGGGTGAGCTCTGCCTGGATCCTTCCCTTCTCCAGGGGAACATTCCCGGGGCTCTGAGCTCTGCCTGGATCCTTCCCTTCTCCAGGGGAACA